AGTCTGTTAAGCATCTGACTTGATTTCAGCCCAGGTCATGATCTTACACTTCGTGAGATCGAGCCCCGCGTTGGGCCCCATGCAGACAGCTCAGAGCCTGGAGCCTGCTTTGGATTTTGTGCTTCCCTCTCTCTCTGCCTCTTCCCTGCTCAAGCTGTCTCTTTCTCTCTCATTCTCTCTCTCTCTCTCAAAAATAAATAAACATTAAAAATGTTTTTAATAAAAAAATAAAAAGACTTCTCAGCAGCTGAGTGGTGGTTATGGGGGCGGCTATGGCGGCCAGAGGAGCATGAGTGGATATGACCAAGTTTTACAGGAAAACTCCAGTGATTTTCAATCAAACATTGCATAGGTAAATATTTTCTCAAAAAATATAATTTAAATTCCCAATAGCAAATACTGATATGTTGTAATAACACTATTTCTATAGCAGTCAATGGCTCTGACTTAACTCCATGGAGGCTGCCATTTTGGGCACAGTGAGTTGCCTTTAGTCCAACTTTTGTCGTCTCACTTCCTGCCCACCATGAATAGGAAAAGCAAGAGACTGCCCCTGTCCTCCCTATTCATATATGCCATTCGATGGACACATTGTGAATGTTTATGGTAAAATTTTTTTTTTAAAATGCCTTGTTTAGCTTTAAAAACAACATGAAGTAATTTTGCAATTTTTGAAAAACACTAGTTTTCCTTTAAACTTAATTTTCTATGTTGATCCTGAAGCATCCAATTAAATGGTAGCACGAGAGTCTGGCAAGTTGGTACTGCAGAGAAAAGGGGTTAATTGAGACTTGTTTGGAGTCGGGAGTCCCCTTTCCCAAACATGCTTCTCGCCACTTGGACAGCAGCCATTTGTACTCGTATACTTTTTAAACTTTTTCTTGGAATGCTATATTTTATTTGACTGATAATCTGATAATTCTCCTGACTTGTAATATTGATCTCTTTGCAGGCAGCCAAGGAGCAGTGAACAGCAGCTACTACAGTAGTGGAAGCCGTGCATCTATGGGAGTGAACGGAATGGGAGGGATGTCTAGCATGTCCAGTATGAGTGGTGGATGGGGAATGTAATTGATCCTGATCACAGACTCTTGGTCAACATTTTTTAAAGAAAAAAGTTTAACAGTTTTGCAATACAAGCTTGTGATTTATGCTTACTCTAAGTGGAAATCAGGATTGTTTTAAAGACTTAAGGTTCAGTATTTTTGAACACAAACTTTCATCTAGGATGTAACAACCGAGTAAACTATAACTGTTAAACAATTTTCAGCTTTTCTCTAGTTATATAGTAGGATGTACTTAAGCAGTAAGTGTATTTAGGTTAAAGCAGTTGAATTATGTTAAATGTTGCTCTTATACCACATTACATTGAACACTGTTTGGATGCATGTTGAAAGACATGCCTTTTTTTTGTAAAACTCAATATAGGAGCTGTGTCTACAATTAAAAGTGAAAACATTTGGCATGTTTGTTAATTCTAGTTTCATTTAATAACCTCTAAGGCACGTAAGTTTTTTTTTTTTTTTTTTTTTTTAAGTTAATGGGGGAAATTTGAGACGCAATACCAATACTTTAGGATTTTGGTCTTGGTGTTTGTATGAAATTCTGAGGCCTTGATTTAAATCTTTCATTGTATTGTGATTTCCTTTTAGGTATATTGCGCTAAGTGAAACTTGTCAAATAAATCTTCCTTTTAAAAACTGCACTTTGTCTTGTCTATACTTCAGTGTCATGTGGACTGTTTCTTGGTGCTCTATTCCTGCCCGGGGCGTAGGTGAGAGTGGCTCACATCTTTGGCTGTGGCAGAGAGGCTCGGCAGTTGAGGCTGTTGTGTAGATGTCGTCAGACTTCCCTCCAGTGCAACTGAAGGTAAATCTAGCTTGTGGGGCCCTTGTGGAAGGGCTGTGTGTTTGGCCTGGCTGCGTAGGACCTAACCTGAGCTGCCTCTGACTCGCTAAGCGCTTGCGTAAAACATGGAGAGGCAGAAGTGCTCACTGCATGTTCTGCATGTTCGCGGAGGCCTGCAGCAGGCATGGCTAAGAAGGAAGTGCCAGGGGTGGCGGGTGGCTGACCAGCAGCCACCCATCCCACTCTGATGGCATCTCTTGAGTTTTTGCTTATGTGGGGTACGGGAAGTCTTCTAGAAGGAGCTAGCTCTCTTAAAGGTGTGATTGTCTCAAAATTCCTTTAGTACATGCTTAACACTGCAGACTCCGCTTAAGCCAAATTGAGGATTTGAAGCCACTTGTGTCAGTGCTGAAAATCTCTTTTCATCTTGGGTGAGGTTTGGTTACAATCCTAGGTGTTTCTAAGCATCTGTAGATGGCAGCATTGCACAAACGTGTGCAAAAGGCCCTGCGGATGTATTGTGCTGCATCCCCTCTGTGGAGGATGGTGCTATCCCACATGGTGGAGGGGAACAACTTGCCATCAGCCTGGGGCACACAAGTGTTCTTGGAATCCTTAGCCTGTCTTCAGGTTTAGAGAAATAATTTGCAGGGGAGGCAGCCTTGAGCTTCTGCTGTGTTCTGGACTTCACACTGCCCCTAGCATCTTGGCTGAGTTATTCAGTGTCTGTGGAACTGACCCATTAATGAGAAGGCTCAAGGAAGGTTGCTTGTCTGGCTCTTTAAGTTGTTTTACGTAAGGAATGTCTTTGTTGAGTAAAGGCTCTTTGGAGGTAAAGGGGACGGCGGGAGTAAGGCTAAGCTAATCCAGAACCATTTGGCTTTTGAAAAGGGAGTATTTAACCCACCATCCTGGTTCTTTGGAACCTTGTGTTCCATGGACTTGAACCAAAACCACCTGGGTGCTTGTTAGACCAGAACCTCCAGGTGCTGTTGGGAGGTGGCATTCTAACAGGACACCCTTCCTGGCTAATTAACCTGTGCATTTAAGCTTGAGAAGCATTGCCTTAGACCACTGTCCCTAATTGCCCGGGTTAGGAAGGTCACCCCACCACAGCCTGAGGATTCCAAAGTTCAGGTGCATATTTGATGTGGCATGGATAGAAAAGTTATCTCACTGCAACTAAATATTTGGTAACTGGCAAAAGGGTCCTTTGAATAATGCCTCAGTATCTTGCTTGTTGGGTGGAGAGGGGGAACATTCTACTTAGTGGTCAAAACAGGAGTCAGGTGTATTTTCTGTGTGGGCAGATGAGAGCCCATAAGTGAGGTGATGATGAGCCCGAGGCTCCCCAGTGAGCTGGAATCCAAATTGGGTGCACTGAAAACTGGGTACCGCTCTGATGCCAGACCAGTGTGGAGTATAGTTCAGGATGTAAGCATTACGGGAACAGCTGAGTGCTGGAGATTTTACTAAAAAGCTGCTCAGATGAAGCGTCCCTCTTGGCAGCTGCTTTCGCTGCCATCGTACTTCCTGATAGGATGTGAGAACCTGCAGCTCCGAAGGAATGTTGCTCTGGAGCTGGGCGTGTGTATCGACACAATCTTGCAGAGCTGCCCAGATCTCTTCCCCCTGCCCCCCCCCCAACTTCCCAACCCCACAGATGTGTTTAAGGGAGCAGCACATACGGAATCTGAGCCAGCCTGTGGGGAACTTTCTGCAGGGTAAGAGCCCAGGAAGAAGAGGGAGAGCCAGGGCCTCGAGCAGGAGCTGGACAGCTAAGCAGGCCAGGGGACTTATGGGGAAAGTGGGGACTGAGCAGCCAGCACAGGGAGTCCACTGAGGGCTGGAGAAGGCAGAGGCTCTGCAGATGGATGGATGGACAGGTCTGGACAGCATTACAGCACTTGTTTCATTTCAGACCCCTGGCTGGGGGCAGGGGGTGGGGTGAGCATGTGCTGAGCCCAATTTCACAGCTGACTGCACCTGTCCTAGCCCTACTTTTGAAGTTCGTGAATGACTATCTGGTAGGTGCCTCCCACAGGTATCTCCTGCAATCCACTTGCATAAAGGAACAACTTCTGAGCTTTGGTGATGGGCGTGAGGTCACTTCCTCTGTGCCTGTTGGTGGACTTAATGGCCTATGTCGTCCTCAGCTCACTGGACAGGGCACAGCCTGTACCAGAACCCAGCAGGCTCACCTCAAAGGCAGCTGCCCTCATTGAGGGCCTTTAGTCCTGACATGGGGGCTGCCCTGAGGCCTCTCCAGAGGCTGACCCTGACCTCTGTGACACGGACACGAGTGCCTATGCTTTCTGCACCGGAGTGAAAAATAAATGATTTTATTGCAGGTCCAAAGACACATATTAACAAGGGTGTGATGTGGCAAATCTCTGGCTTCTGAAGCAGGGAAGGCACGGTGCGGGGGGGGGGGGGGGGGGGGGGGGGGGGGGGGCGCGGAACTGGTTGCTCATTATACTAGTACGACTGCCATAAAACTGGACAATTTTTTTGAAAAGTGAAAAATGACAGTAGCAAAATCATGAAGTTACACTGGAGCCAAAGCCAGTGACGTAGCCAAGTGAGAAGGAAGCATCCAGACAGGTTAGCAGATAGGTTAATTCCATACAGTCCGGAAAGGAGAGGCGTGTACCTTCCATTCCGCCATGCTGTGTGCACAGCCGGCCAGGATCGCCTTCCTTCCCGCTTCCCCAAGGCCCTGGGCATCCCCCGAGACCCACAGAGTTTGGCACTGTTCTGAGGCTGCCTCGCCGACGCCCTGTGTGCTTAGGAGCCAGTGGACGAGGAGCAGCGCTGCAGGAGCAGCGTGTGGCAGCTGTCGCACACACGCACGGGCTTGGGGTAGGAGGGCAGTGCTAGCTCGTTGCTGGAACACGTGTTGCAGAAGATGTGGCCACAGTTACGGCAGTGGTGCTGCAGGACAGAGAGACCATCATGGTGTGCTGTGCTCCCCCATCCGTACACCCACTTTGTTCTTACAGCCTTTGGGGGAGGGATCTTAAAACCCAAGGCAGACTTGCAGATGTGTCCGTTTGGAAGGGGTACTTGCAGACCTTTGTTTCTACAGTCCTGTGCCTCTGTGCCTCTAAGGTCTGCAGAGTGGTGGTGGAGGGGCATGCGCCTGTATGAATCAGGCTCTTTTCCTTCAGAATGTGTTTACTGGAGTTGGGGGCCCTGGTTCAGTCCCTGCAATCCCTGCACCCTGTGGTGGGACCCCAGGTTTCTTTAGCCAGCCAGCCCCTCCTGATGGGTGTCTTACTTTGTGAAGAACTGCCTAAGCCTTGGGCAGAACGCCAAGACCAGGATCCATGTAGAAATCTGTCATTTCTGCCAACAGCCCAACCCCATCAGGCTAGACAATGAACCTCTGCCAGGCCGTTCACAGGTGGGGATGGAGAGGCCCTAGTGTCCAGCAGGCCTTGTGGAAAAGCAGGATTTCAACGGTAGCCTCAGGAGGGCTGTTTCTACCTCTGGACCTACTGCAAGGCACTAAGGTTTGGGAGTTGTACTTTCCCACAGAGAGGCCATTTGCCGGGACCGGTGAGCATGTGCACCTGTGTAGTAGTGGATGGGGTACTGTGGGCTGTAGAGGTTTCCAGTTTTGCTTGGCATCTATATCCTGCCCCTATCATGCCCAACTGGTCACTCAAAGCCCTGTCAACCCTGGACCAAAGGTATAGACCCTTCTGTTCCTGGAGCCTGAGGGCAGGCTGTACACTGGCAGAGGCAGACTTACCAGGGCACTGGCCCTGCCCAGATGCCAGTGAGCTTTTGGTGCCACTTGGGGGCCTGTCCGGAGACTCACTGCTCACCGGTTCTCTAGAGATTGTTTTTGCCTCACTTTGCCAGATGTTGGTCCTGTTGCTTAAAATGAATTTTCAATGATCTGCTCACCTAGACTAGCTCTGGGCATGAGCTGGGAAACCATCTCCGTGGGCCAGCAGACCAGCAAGTGTGATCACAGTGCGGTGGCCCCTGTGGGACTGGGGGTGGGAGGGGATCCCCACCTGTGTGAGCCAATGGAGGGCCACCCCACGTACCTTTCTTCGGGAAATGGAGAACTCCTTTTCACACTGCTTACAGTGTGTTGCTTCATCGTCTTTCAGCCAAGTATGGCCCTGGGGGAGGAAAGACCACCACAGAATCCCAGTTTACAGCCTGGCTCCTGATGGACCTTTGCCCAATGTCAGTGGCCTACCACTTCTCTAATAGCACCTTTTGAGGGACAGCCACTTTACGCTAGATAGGGCCTCCTAGGGCCTCCCTGCCCTGACCACAGCTCACGTGCTGCAGACCGTCTGTCCTCTGGCCCTGGCTTCCCGGCCTGCAGCCAGATCCCCCAGCTTCCCGGGAACCTGAGCCTTCCCCACCCCCTTTCAATAAATGCCCTTCGGCTGAGGTAACAAGAGTCAGGATCTGATGCCTGCAACTGGATCCTGGCTGAGACATTCTCCAGTGTCCCCCTGCTGAACTGGCAGGAGGGAGAGGGGCCAGACTGGTCAGCCAGACCAGGTCTGTGATGGCAGTCCCTGCTGAGACAGAAGGCAACGTGCCATGGGATGGGAGGCCCTTCTCCACATGCTGAGCCCCCGACCCTCAGAGCGAGGAGGGGAGGCAGGAGTCTCCATTCTACAGAGGCAGCCGCCACTCTGAAAGCTCTTTCTAAAGGACAACCAGGAGGTATGATTTGTTCAGCTGCAGGGACTGAGCTTTCAAAGGGGCCAAAGACCTGAGAAACTTTTCTGGCTCCTTAGCCTCTGGTGGATGTCACTTTCTTGGTGACAGAGTGACCCTAAGAGCTGTAGCGTGACCACGCCCAACAGCTCCTTCCTCGAGTGCTGCTGTCACTGTTGGGACATTCCAGCAGTTTTTCAGGGACAGAAAAGCAGCTCACAGCGATCTCCCCTAAGGCGCTGCCCACCTGCAAGGGTGGGGAAGGTGCATGATGTTAAGTCAGGGCTGCCGTAAGCTGCCGTGACAGTTTGCCTCTGCCCTGTGTGCACTAGGGTCTCCATCCAGCAGAGGCCGCAAACTCCTGTCCCAGGTGGGCGGTCCCTTCTCTGAACTGTCCCTGTCCCGACCCTAGTGGGCCAGCCTGGTGCCCGTACCTAGTCACCTGGTCCCCACGTTCCAGCTCTCCGTAGGTGGGTGCATCATCCTGCCCTCCCCAAGGTGGTCCAGAAACACGGCCCAGCTCAGGGCTTGAATGGTCCCCAGAAATAGCAGGGTGGCCTCCGGCCCCTCACTTGTAGGGAGAGGTCTCACGCTCCCTATTCAACAATCCCTGGATCTCTCTGCCACTTTGTGCTTCCTCCATTTGGGCACCTGTGTGGCAGGCCTGGGGTGGAACTACGGCTGACAGCTGAGGAGCCCGGATCCAGGCCAGTGTTCTGGGCTGGGTCCACCGCTCAGCAGCACCACCTCTCACCAGGTCACCTGGCTCTGAGCGGCATTTTCTGCTCTGTGAACAAGTACTAACTGCCACTGAAGCCTCAGCCGCACACGCTCACCTGACTTGTGGCAAAACCCAAGAGCACATGGGGCGTTCGCACTAGCTGACCAATAGCTGCTCTTGGGCAGAGATTCTTATGCTAATAACATCAACAATCCAGTACCTTCAGTGCCTTATTTACTTCTTTGATGTCTTCCATCTTCAGCTTTGACCTTGAAGAAAAAAAAAGGCAAAAATCATTTAGAAGCAGTGAGAGGCTCTCAACAGCGACTGTCTGGCTTCGGGAGGGAGGCAGGGCTTATTGAGAGAGCTGTCCCATAACGTGAGTCATTCTGGAACACTCTTTCTACCTTTTCATCATCCCAGAGCCACCTCTTGAGGTTGGCTCACGTCTGCCATGCTCCGAGGTTGAGCCTGTGGACTGAACGTGGCCCAAGAACAGACTGTTGATCCTGTAACCTTTCAGAAGACTTGGAAATAGTTGCAGCCATTTAAAGATTGAGGATACGGGTGCCTGGGGGGCTCAGTTAAGCGTCCGACTCTTGGTTTTGGCTTGGGTCACCATCTCACAGCTTTGTGAGTTCGTGCCCCGCATCGGGCTCTGCGCTGCAGTGCAGACTCTCTCTCCATCTGCCCCTCCCCCACTTGGGGTGTCTCTTTCTCTCTCAAAATAAATAAACTTAAAAAGATAATGTCCTAGAAGTCCAGTTTCCTGGCTTCTCTGGGCAACCGTTCCTGCATACGGCATGTGCTGGAGCGGGGCTGTGTGTGCTCCCCTCAGGAACCAGAATCTGCAGGGCTCTCTGGGCCCTTTTCCTGCTCCCTGCTCCTTTTAGAACAGTCCTGCTCAGAGGACATGGTCATTTGTCCTTGCTCCATTCTTGTTAGGGTAAGAATAATTCCTTAGTTGTCCACATAAACGACCGACTGAACATGGTCTAAACTGGCAGGATTAAACCAGATAAAATGAAACTGTAAGAGGTTGTAATTGTGGGCGGGTGGGGCAGGGGGGATGGTCTGAGCCCTTGAAAGCTGAGATTAGCCTAAACTGTCATTGGATTAACCTAATCCAAGTGTCAAAGTGGCCGGGCTCTGAGACCCGAGCTAGTCTTCTGGGGGAGGATTAGGAAACTGAGCATCATCAGGTCCCTTAGAAAAAGACGTTCCCTCCTGCCCTGACCAGCTTAGCAACAGGCCTGCAGACTGACAGCACCAGCAGCTGCCTGGGTGGAGAGACCTGGGGACACCAGGTGGAGAGGGCAGCCTGACCGTGCAAGCACTTCCCTGGGAAATAAGCTTGGGAAGGACCCAGACTTTGGTGACAAAGAAACCAGGCAGCTGTGTCTGGCTGGTGGAGGGATCTGAAGGGAGTCTTCTCTGGTGTCACCTGGTGACATGAAGAAGGAGGGAGGGAAGGAGGGAAGAAGCACAAAGGTTCCCTGGGGAACTCCTGCCTGTGTCACGTGTCCTGACACAGCAACCCCCACGCAGCCCAACTGAGGGACGTCCTGTTCGGTGTGCATACTACTTCAGTGTTTCTAGTTTCTTCTCCTGGTCACCCTCATCTCTGGATCTTTTCTGGTCAGGGTTTTATTCAGCATGGAGCCTGAGTCCAGGCTGTGCTGGCCATGACAGCCCTTCTCTCTGGTCACCATGCTTATGGCAGGCACCAGAACAGGACTCTGGTGGGGGTGGCAAGTCAACCTGGAGTCCCTGTGGGAGCCATTCTGCCCTGATGTGGGCCAGAGCCCCTCGTGGTGGAAGCAACAGACAGGATGGCAGAGGTAGGAAGGAGAGACAGTTCTGATGGCTTTTTCTGCTTCAGACAGTTTGAGTTGGATTTCTGTCCCTCTGAAACCAAGAGTCCTGACTCAGAAGGAGAAAAAGCTCCCCCATGGCTTTGAAAATTCAGTAATAGGGGCACCTGGGTGGCTCAGTCAGTTAAGTGTCCGACTTTG